ACCAGTAATTCTCAACAGTTCTTGGACCAGAAAAGACTGAGAGGAAACTGGGATAGGACTGGAAGGCACCAGTATTTAAGCATTTTCTCTCAATCTTTGGACCAATCAGGCTTTGAGAATAACCCACGTGTGACCATTCCCTCTCCCTCTTCTGGAAAACCCCCCACACCTTTCAAATTTTATTGTTTGTGTTTCCAAAATTGCTGGTTTTGGATTTGCCAACTGACTCTTTGGTATGCTTATTTCATTTTTCAACAGATAGAAGAGAAAAATGTGACTTTTGTCTTAAAATGATTTTTAAATTAATGAAATTGCTTACCTGTCCACCTTTGAATGGACAGTCTTAATGCTGATAGCCAAAAACATGGGTCAGTTTTGTAAGATTTGTTTTCCTTACAACTGAAGACCAGCATTGAATGAACAGAAGACAGAACTTCCAGCTATATTTTCAGATGATTGTTTGTCAAAATGAGCCAACAAGAATCTTTTTGACATAAACATAATTGATCCAAGCAGATCATTTTTTTCTTCCATCTGGTGGATTAAATAATATCTGCTGATAAAATCTGGTATTGAAATCTGATATTCATTTATTTTCAGGGCCGGAATCTTGCAGACCTCAGAAGAAGCCAGCCTCGAGGAACTTTTACACTGAGCACAACTCTTCGATTAGGCAAGCAGATCTTAGAATCCATAGAAGCCATTCACTCAGTGGGATTCTTGCATCGAGATATCAAGCCCGTAAGTAGATTCTGGTGGCTGACCTTTTCTACATAGTTTACCTGCCATTGATGTTTCTGAAGTCTCCTTGCAGTTGGAAAACATAACCTCTCAGGGGCAGAGTTTTAGAGAGAGACAAGTGCATTCATGAAATGCATATTAAAGCATGACTTTATGTTTTGGGATAGGTAAGGCCTCACTTACAACATGGGTCTGTGTATTTAACTAGTTCCAAGTTGCAAACACATTTTATTTCATGTTTTGTGATCACTTTTTCTATCAATAAATGAGAATATGCACATATAAAAAGGTCAGTAACAAAAAATATAGTAATCACTATACTCCAATCCTGGTTGGGCGATTAAGTTGTTAGTTTTATTAAAAAATGAAAATATTCTTGTGAAATTGACTAGGGTTTTCAAAGAGGTTTCCTTCTATGATTCCCTTTTCAACAGAGGGAATTAAAATTCAGATAAGAATTCAGAATTATTCCTAGTACTTACATTTGAGAAAACTGAAACAATATTTATTAGATTTACATCCATTTATTTTTGTATAACCCCAAGCATTGCATAATGCTGCCATCTCATTGTCCCCTGTGAGGTGAATTGGACTGAGGGAGAGTGACACTGAGATTCATGCCTAAGTGAGAGCTAGAACTCGGTCTTCCAATTCCTGGGTTAACGCATTAACCATTAAAACAGGCAAGTTCTATTTATACCAGGAACACTTTCTCCAGCTAACTTCTTAAACTCCTACGTTTGTGCATATATTTATTTCTTGCAGGAGTTGGATTGATATCCTTCCTTTTGCTCTATGCACTGTTGAAAATCCAGCATCTTTTGGAGCTGAAAACATACCTTTACCAAGTCGGGTTTTCAAGAGTACATTTACTAGTGATTGCATGCCCAGTTAAATACTGTTCACCTTCTCATGTGCTTTCAAGCCTCATTTTTCTTATAGACTTTGGTATGCATTACTACACAATCTTTTATTAGTGTACACATATATAATATTAATATGAAAACCTTTTAAAAGGAAAAAGGAACTCTTCCTCTCTTAGCAAACAATGGCAAAATATCAGTGTCTTTCTATCCTTCCTCCAGGTCAGAAAATGTAACCACAATCAGCTATACTAGATTTAGAAGAGATGCAAATGTGGTCTAATTGCTTGCTTATTCTATCTTGCCAGTATTGCTTTTCTGTCTATGTGCCATCCTCATTATAGTCATCTGTACATCACTTTCTCATCCCTTTTGTTTTTGTTGTACTATAGCTTACCTTATCTTTGAAAATGGCATATATGGCTAATATTCTAGGAGCTAGAAATAAAATACAAGCTGATATTGGAAGAAAAATGGGTTCAGAATGATACTATCGGATTCAACAGATAAAAATATGGCAATAGGAAACATATAAATGTATAATTATAGAATAACTGCATTGGCAAAAAGTTATGAAAAAATATTGGAGTGATTATAAACTGAGTATAAATTAACAATGTAATGCAGCTGCAAGAAATATGTACAAGGATGTTTCCTACATAATTAAATCAGTTTATTCTGCTTCACTTGGACCCCCTTCAAATGTTATATTCAGTTTGGATATTAGATTTTAAAATGGGTTTAGATAAATTGGAATAAATTAGAGAAAGGTAATACATTCTACTTTCAGATGACTAGAAACAGAGATTGAATTGATATATTAGTCTATGAGGAACCTACTGCATTAAATACAAGAACTTTGTTTAATCATAGATGTAACAGCAAAATGATTGATAATGGGAAATATGATAAAAATAGTAACTGGAACAGATTTTGGATAGTGGCTTTATCACTCATGAAGGGATACTGATGTATTAACATCTTCTTATTGTGTTGATCCTGTTTAGTCTAATTTTGCCATGGGACGCCTGCCTTCAACCTACAGGAAATGTTATATGTTAGACTTTGGTCTGGCCCGGCAGTATACCAATACTAATGGTGAAGTCCGACCTGTAAGTGATGTCTTTTCTATTTCTTTTTCTGTCATTGTAATAGATAAAAAAGAACAATTATATTTTTGTGGGTATTCTTGGTGCTCTCTGAGCTTGGTTGTTTTCTTGCAGATGTTTCATTACCAAACTAGGCAACATCAATAGTGCACTGATGATGTAACTTAGTTTGGTAATGAAATGCCTGCAATAAAACAACCAAGCTCAGAAAGCACCAAGGACTCCATCAAACCTGAGCTATAAATATTTCTTCTATTGGTATCATTATATGTTTACACTTTTTATTATTTCCATTTATATTTTGACAATCGGTGCATTTGTGTATTTTTATATTGCCAGTCTGTGTACATGCCAAAGGCACACAGTATGTTGTATATTTATATACTGCATTCTGTGTGCCTTTGGCATATAGCCCTGCTGGCCACATGATCATTGAAATTGTCTTTGGACAGTTCTGACTCCTTCAGTCAAAGAAATGGAGATGAGCACCATGCCCTAGAGTTGGCTATGACTGACAGGGAAACCGTTATCTTTTATTACTGCCAGTCTGTCCAAGGGCACTGTTGTATTATTCATGTTTGCAGTGGCTGTCACTTTAACATATGTACCTATTTGTTGAGATGAAAACTGAATATGATAGAGTCTTCTAATTGGGCGAAGAGTTGTTACACATGTTTTCAGAATAAAATGTTACTTTGCATATGTCTTGTCTCTATCAGTTACTTATATCAGTACTAAAAAAATAAAACACTGTAAATTGTTCATCCTTTTATCCATTAACAACTTTTATAGAAGATTGTTTTTTTTAAAGCACACTGCCTATGCTGAATTTATGCTCATTCAGAAGAAGCAAATTTGCACCTGATAATGTTGTGAATGATAGCGGCATATATAACCAATCTTACTTTTTCTCCTGCTACCATCCCTAAAAATCTCCAGAGGGTTAGAAGAAATTGCTGAAGAGCAAGGTTCTACTGCTATAAGATTCTTCTGTTTGATTTCAGTTAATTCAGTGATTTATGATAGCTCTTCTGCGCCTCTCTACAGTATTTCAGTATGGTTTGCAGCGTAATAATTATAAACAGATTTTAAACAGTTAAAACAATAAAGGTGCCCAATCCCACTGGAGATAATAACAAAGGTTCTTTGGAATAGGATTGTTTTAATAGCCTTACTAAATGGCATCAGTTTGGGCAATAACTGAACCTCTTAGGGCAGGAAGCCTTTTCCAAAATAATGAGATTGCAGTGGAGAAATAATGCATTGAGAGCCCTCAGACCCTCAAAAAGGAGGGGAACCTTAAGCACCTCATCATGAAATGAGCTGGTTTATTTGAAGGAAAGATTCCTCAAAATATCTAGGAAACAGGTGATGAAGAGGTTCATAGATAAAAACCAGCACTTAGTATTTACCCTTTTAGAAACTAATGCAGCAGGTACAAAAATGGTGTTATGTTTATTTATTTAGAAAATGTATTGCCAGATACCTGGCAGATTGCAGTGATTAAACATTAAGATATCTTCAGTATGGTTAATAATTAAAGCATAAAACAAAAACAAAAAAAAAACCAATAACTAAACTGGGCATCCTAATGCTAGTCATAGACCCTTCTGAACAATTTGATTTTCAAAAATATTTAAATTACAAAACCGAAATATTGAACACAATTTTACTATCAAGGGGTAGGCTATTCCACTGATAGGTAACCAGTTCTGAAATTCAGCCCCTTTAAGCCTCTGAATCTTATTTATCGTAGAAATTGATGATCGTCATCATTATTTTCTGTTAGAGACAAATCAGATATGACAAGTCTGCTTGTGGACTTCTGAGATCCAGCAGCATTTTTGTGTACCAAGTCTTTTAGATTTTATAAATGGCAATCACATGGTAACTTTGAATTATATCCAGAAGTTAATAGGGAGCACCTATACAATATTCCTGATGATAATTACTGGCTAATAACTGGATGCTGCAATCTGGATTAATTGAAGCTTCTAAGAAGTCTTCAAAGGCATCCTCCAAATAGAATGCGTTGGTCCAAACTAGTGACAATGGAGCATGAGTTATTGTTAAGATATCCTCTTGCTCTAGGAAGGCCCATAAATAGTCACCAGCCAGCTGGCCAAATAGTCCACTTATCTTTCAAGTAGGAGTGGTGAGTTCAGAAGGACCCCCAATTCAGGGACCAGTTTCTGTCAAAGTCAACATTGGATTAGTCACAGTATCTGAATGGATAAAGTACAATTTTATCTTGCTGGGATTCACTTTTAGCCTATTTCATCCTGTCTAACTCCCACAGCCTTCAGATACTGCAACAAAATACTAATAGCATTTCCTATTTCATGACGGGATGGGGTTGCAATGCAGCATTGGGTATCATCATGGTACCCTGAATCAATGCTGACTGTACCCATTGGCTTCATGTAGCTTTGAATGGGCAAATATTTAACATTATATCTGAGTTGCAATATTTTCTATACATATCTTTCAGGATTGAATGTAGGCATTGTAATTAATCACTGCATAGACACTGCTCCCAGTATTTGCCAAGATTTCAGTGGGGTCAAATGAGATCTCTCAAGATGAGCCCAAAGAAGAACTGAATGTTGAAGTTTCTTATTCCAGCCAGTGACCAAAGCTAGGATTAAAGCTTAATGATAAGCTTGAAAGTTTGAAAAGTTAAATTCATCTTGCTTACCAGGTAATTGTACTTTGTGCAGTGAAAGCTCTAAGTACCAATATAATTATTCTCTATTTTTACTTTTCTTCCAAATGTTTTTAAAGAAAAGATTGTGATACAGAGCCCAATATCACACTATTCAGTATGTTAAAGATTAAAGTGCAGAGCAAATCTGCAAACAATATGGTTAAAACCATGTCATCCCTCTTCTTTTCTTTTTTATAGTTACTGCTTAGGTATGCCAGGTAGCTATTTGATTTAAATAAAATAGCCAACATTAAAACTTAACCACAATTTAAAATTAGTTCAATAAATACATTAAACTATATCAATAATAGAAAACACCGAGAGATAGTTTAAGACCCACTTATGTTGTCAATCTCTTTTAGACACCAGCATCCAAAATAAAAATGTTTCTTTGAAACCACATAAACTTGCTAGATTAGTATGGAACAATGTACTATTTCTCAAATCTTGGTCCTGTTTATATCTTTGAGATACGTAATTAATATTTAAAATTGTGTTCTGAGATTTAGACTGGTAGCCATTGTGCAATGTTGCTTTATAGCCATCACTACCATTGGTCTGGCTCTAACATTCTGGAAGTTGATTTTTTTAAAAATATTTTCCTAGGTACCCCAACCTATTGTCCCAAACAAAATATAGCTATTAGCATCCTTATGGGAGTAGTTGTTTAATACAGAACCCTGTGTATATCAGAGATGAATCCAGGAGACCAACCAAATAGACAGTATCAATTTCCAAGGTAAATGAAATAGAAATTGAATCCAGTTCAGGTTAAATTCCTATTATTTGGCTGATCAAGACATATTTCTTACTTTGATTAAAGTTTAGTCCGTTTCCTTCATTCTGTGCATTATTGTCCTCTATCAAGGACTTAAATTTGAAAAGCTTTATTAAATTTAAAGAGAAAGAACATGAATCTGAATTCAATAGCACATGCTGGCAGTGTGTCCCAAAACTCCAGATGGTTTTTTCTATCAGTTGTATGTATCTATTAGGTAGTATAATTGATGAAATAGAATTTTAAGAAATATTATAGTGCTCATGTTATAGGTCACAACTATCATAAAGATGAGTTCATTCTCCATTATGATGTATCTTAATGCCATAACGTGTACTCTATCTGATAGCACTGTTATCAGAACAGCTCAAAAGTCTAAACATCCAGCCAGAAAAGCAGTGGGGACAGTTGGGAGAAGTCATTCGATGAGATTCTACGGTTGCCTCAGATAATTATGCTGAGGGAATTGAAAAAGACGGAAAAGTTGCCAACTAAATTTTAACTTGAGCCCTTAACTAACTGCTTTGGAAAATTCAGTGACAGCGACGTTTTTAAGGAAAAGTACACTGTCAGTTTAAACGGAAGCATTGCTATTGTTGGCAGGATGATAATTAATTCCGGAGTTGTAGACAGAAACTGCTACTGTAACAGAAACTGCTATATTCCATCTTCTTTTTGAAAGCAGATATAGGATGGAGAGACAGAGGGGAGAACTGTACATCTGTATCATTAACTGAATTCTGCTTGTCTGGGAAAATCAGACTTTCAAAGAAACTAATATAGTTCTACCTTTGTTATAGCAATAGCACTTAGACATATATACCACTTTACAGTGCTTTACAGCCCTCTCTTAAGCGTTTTACAGAGTCAGCATATTGCCCCCAACAATCTGGGTCCTCATTTTACAGACCTCGGAAGGATGGATGGCAGAGTTAACCTTGAGCCTGATGAGATTTGAACTGCCAAACTTCAGGCAGTCAGCAGTCAGCAGAAGTAGCTTGCAGTACTGCACTCTAACCACTGCGCCACCGTCTTATTAACAAAGAAAACATTTGTGAATGTTTTGTTTTGTCTTGTCAGCTCTGAAACATGGCAATGCCTTTCCAGATTTTTCTTGGGTAAAACTTTGAACAGCCAAAATTGGCAGACTGGAACCTGCCCAGAATCGTCTAACCAATGTTCCGAATTACCACATGCGTGTTTCTTGCACAAAACAAAATACATTTTCTCTCTTCCATATAAAGGCTTTGGTACCCCAAGTAGGAAAGGTGTGAAAGGTGGGGAAAAAAGAATGGTACTGTAGGCACACTCATGGCTCTCCAGTGAGAGTGTGGAGATGGGTGGCTCATGTCTGCCATATATGGGGATGCCCCACATCTCTGGCTGCCTCTTTATGGCTTTGCCTTGCTCTTTCTCTTGAGATGGGCAGAGAAGCTACAGCTAATGCTTCTGCCTTTCCCAGCTAGCTAGGCTGCTAATGGTAGCTGCAACTTCTCAGGCAGAAGGTGCAGAATGAGA